AATCCAATCGTTTAGCTACAATACACTGTGTCGTATGGGTGAACAACCCTGTATAACATGCATAAATAATTATTGTTATGACAACTCTAAAATTAAATTAAAATCGTACCATCCTTAATATTTTATTTAATAACTAATCGTCTGGTCTTCAAAGTGGCCCAAGTTGTTATTATTTTTTGTAAATCTAAGTTGATGTCAATATCCGCTTCACATTAGTGCAGCGGCATATTTTTTTTTATTTTTGACAAATTTGGGATTTAGACGTCGCGTTGTCATGAATAATTTCCCAACTCGCCGTTATTATATTATACATTGGGGGGAGCATCCCCCCATCACCCCCCATAGCTTCACCACTGGTTATAGCAGCCAAGGGCGGCAATACAAAGTATTAGGTTATTTTTTACAATTTTTTTTCTGTTAGTGTACTTGAGTATTAAAGATGTTTTATTTAATATCGTTAGTTCTGTTATATATGTTAATGTTTATTAAAACGCGGACTGTGTCGTTAACTTTTTTTTTAATTTAGTTAGACTATCAAATGCAGTGTAATATGGCGATACGACAATAGTCACCAAAACCATCTCGTCATATTACAAAATTACATCAAAAAGTAATGATAATTAAAAAGTTGCAAATTGATCGTAATCAGTTCATTTCGCTCTTAAAAATTAACCAAAGCATGTACTGACATGAATCAAAAAACAAAATGCTCAGGAGTCATGGTTCTGACCATAAAATTATAAGTATTTTCGGAAAATTTACAGACGAAATTATTGCACAGGGTGTTTTAAAGTTAAGGTAAAAATACAACCCCTCGGTTAACCCTGTATAATATGCCAAATACTAAAGTTTATAAAAAGCTGCTAAAAAAATCATGAAAATAGGGCTAAAAATAACAAAAATATAACACTTTAAAAAAATTGACCAAAAATTTCTCCGTTGCGTTTTTTTGCATCTGAGTACACGGTGAATAATTTTTCCCCACCCATATAATCTACACTCTACAAACGCCATTACTGTTTATTAGACTACAAGACTAGAGAAGTCTTGGTCTTGATCTTGCATTTGCTTATCACTACTGAAGAACAGAAGTTAACAAACTACTTTACTAATTCTCATACAACCCTCGTAAGTCTAGTGCCATCTTCCAGGGTTAATTTCCTGGTGATTAATGACACGGTACCGCACTCGGTACGATTCGTCTTCACGGTTCGGGTGGAATAATAATTAAATAATAGGCCCTGTCATCGCGTTAACTAATGCGTTCAAAGGATCGTTTGTTTTGAAGTTGCGCACCATCAATCACCGGGGTGAGAAGCGGCACGCCTCAGGTACCACCACAAAACGCTAACGGTAACGCTAAAAGAATAAAAATAGAGAGATTTTGAATCGGCTGGAGTTTTTCGAAGTACTTTCCGTAATATGCCAAAGAAAATTATAGGCTGTATTAGAAGTCTCGTCTTGCGTCAAAATAGGATCTGTCTATAGGGTACCATAGACAGATCAGAGACAAATTTGGATACAAGACTTCTAGAGTGTGTAATATTTTTTACCTAAACTAATACTTAAAAAAGTCCACAAAATTCCGCCACCCTAATATTTTGACTAAGTTTGATGTTTCATAACTTTTTAATTTGTAATGTGATTTTTATGATTATGATGCTAGTTTGTAGATAAATGTGTTGGTATTATTTTTTATTCTTTTAATGGCTTATATATTTCGGTTAGGTGGGTTTATACCAGGGTAAATCAAAACTTCGTTTTTTTGCAATAAATTCAAAACACCTTCTGGAAAAAATGGGACGGACATTTTGGATAAAAAGCACTTTCCTGTAATCTTAGACGAAATAATTGTCCTATTATCTCTATTCTTTTATGAGCTACACATTTTTAAATAAAGTACTGATATTTTTACAATCTTGAATTAGTTAAAAATGGAGCTCTCAATGACCACCTTTATATTGAGGATGTAATTGTTCTCCAAGAAGTTGTTGTTCCATTTGCTCCTTTCATTGAAAATCAGTTTATGCGAAGAAAATAACTCGGTTATTTTGGACTTATTTGAAAAACGATAAAGAGAAAATATGTTTCTTTTACCGAGATCTATTACCTTTTAAAATATTTGCACTTATTTCTGGGACACCCTGTATAGTTTAATTTAGTTGAATATATATATATATATATATATATATATATATATATATATATATATATATATATATATATATATATATATATATATATAATATATATATATATATATATATATATATATATATATATATATATATATATATATATATATATATATATATATATATATATATATATATATATATATATATATATATATATATATATATATATATATATATATATATATACGGGATTTTTGATTAGACATTGGTTGTCCATTAATCAAGCATGCAGCTACTGCTGCTTTCCCGTTCGCCTTCGCCAAACCTCTCTATCAAATGCATCCAGTTCTTCCAGCTCTCTGGATGCCATCGCTTGCCTAATTGTGTTGTTCCACGACCTTCTTGGTCTACCTCGCTTTCTTCTTTGTGGAGGACTCCACTGAAACAGACGTTTCGGCCATCGATCTTCCGGCATTCTTAATAGATGGCCAAACCACTTGAGACCTCTGATTTCGACCCTGTCTATAATTGTCTCTGGTGCATTCATTCGGTGTCTAATCTCTATGTTGGTAATTCGGTCCATTTTCGATACACCTGCGCTCCTTCTGAGATAGTCCATTTCGACTGCTGTAAGTCTCCGTTTCATTTCGGCTGTTAGAGCCTATACTTCGCAACCATAGCACACCACCGATTCCACCAAGATTTGTCCCAGCCGTTTTTTGGTTCTAAGAGAGATGCTGATTCCACCACAATGAATTCAAGCATCCCACTACTCTCTTGCCAGCTTGAATGCGGAGTTTAATTTCGTCCTCTCCAATGCCCTGTTTAATCACGATTGACCCTAAATATTTGAAGTTGTTGACCTGTGTGACCTGAGTATCATCGGTAATCAGAACTTCAAAGGCCGCTTCACTATAGACTACTAGATATTCTGTTTTTTAAGACTTACTTGTAGACCCCACTTCTCATATGTACATAGAGTCTTCTCATCATATATTCAAGGTTAAACGCATCCTGCGCAAGCACCACCTGGTCGTCAGCAAAATTTAAAGTGAACAATTTTTGTGCCCCTATAGGAATACCCATAGGTTCACATTGTCTTTTCCATTCTTCTAGCGCGACTTCTACATAGGCGTTGAAAAGCAAAGGGAAGAGACTGCAGCCCTGTCTGAGACTCTTTGTGGTTAGTATAGGTTCAGACAGTCGATTTCCTACCTTTATGATACATTATTATTGTACAGTTCTTTAATTATTTTTAAGAGATCCTTATCCACGTCTAGCCGTTCGAGGGCCTTCCACAATTTTTGACGGGGTATTGTATCGTAGGCTTTTTCAAGATCTACAAAAGCCAAGTGAACTTCCTGTTCTACGGATATTTGTTTTTCCAGAAGCTGCTGAAGTATGAAAAGGTTGTCGACACAAGATCTGCCCGGTCTAAATCCACTTTGGTCCTCTCCAATTTTATGGTCAATATTTGCTCTAAGTTTGGATTGTAGAATTTTACTAAACAACCTGCCCATCGTACAATTCACACTTAGTCCTCTGTAGCATCCAGGGTCTCTCCGATTTGCCTTTTTGAATATGGATACTAAATGAGACGTTTTCCATTCTTGGGGTATTCTATTGATTGCTAGGCACTTATTCATAAGGGCTACCAAACGTTCGATCAGAGCGTAGCCCCCGCATTTTAGTAGCTCAGCTGGGATATTACCTGGACCTGGAGATCTTTTATTTTTCATCTTATTAAGTTCTTTTTTTACTTCTGCCACTGATATATTTTGTTTTGTTTCTAGATGTTGATATTTGAACTTAGTTTGTTGTATTAAATACTTACAAAAAGTGGCTTTCATCGTACGGTACTTACATAACAGCAAGACCTACATGCTCTAAATCTTCTTAACACCCGATTTAAATAGAATGCGAATATAGCGACGCAGTGTGGTACTAAATCAGACCCATTTGCGTATAGAGAAAGCAATATTTGCGCGTAGTTAGACCAAAAACGGACTGGGCAGAACAATGCAGATGCGGTACTGCCTTTTTGGTACTACCACTCGTTCTTTTGTGTGCGTCTCTTGAAATAGGTGTACGCGTTAAAAAAGGTTCTGGTACTGGCTAGCAGGTTGCGATAGGCTCCATAGCGGTTAAACACGACGCACGTTTTTATACAGGGTGATGATAATAAAATTTTAATAAACTTTAATAGTAATAAAAATACTGTGGAAATATAACTCAGTGGCGTAACTATCGATGTGCCGTGTGTGTGAAGCACAAGGGCCCGGGCCCTCGGCCTTTCCATAAATATCTATCACATGCTATCGCGAATCAAGAAGAATCGGGCGATCCCGAACTAAATTCTTATCTATCACATGTTTTCTTAACTATTTAACTAGCACACGCTATCGCGAAAATAACTTATTACTTTACACTTGTTCTTGTGCAATTTTGTAGCTGTGTTTTCCTTTTTATTTTGCAAAATAAAGATAACTGGAAATATGTGATTTTCCATTAGAGCATTAAATTTGACAAAAAGGAAATTTGCTGTATTGTCACTGGATTTCTATACCATCGAATAGAAATAGAACTAAGCTAGTTATAGCATCAAAAAGAGCATGAAAAATTATACTGGCCAAACTAGTTAACTCAAAATCACAAAAACTCTAGTTACCTAATGGCTGTATTAAGGGGACGATAAGGAAGCTGAGTTACGAGAGGTACCCGAGACTGCCACGTTTTTAAAATCACCCCGTAGCTCAGTAACTAAGAGGGCCATGACAAATCCTATTAGGGCATCTCTCATTTTGTCAAAAAGTAGCCGACTATTGTGAAAACCTATTCATAAGGGCAACAAAATACATGAAAATGGGATACCCTGTAGGTACAAGGTATTCCATTCGTAAAAAAATATCTTATTATCGCACTTAAATTCAATTTGTTCTTGCTTCAAATAATATCGCGATTAGGTACCTGTATTGGTTATGACGGCAATTCCCAATACTTCTTTCTTAACATGTCCATGTTCCTATTTACATTGTTTATTTTAATTTAGTTAGTTTTGTTGTTGTTTTTTGTTTCGTTTTTATTTATTTGTTTATTTATTTGATATTTTATCTGTTTTGGGTTACATATTCTGTGTTGCAGTAATAAATAATACAATACTAAGGGTCGGCATTTCTGGTCTTGGGTGCCGGTTTTCATGTGTACGAAGAGTACGGTCAACACGCTTAGTAAAATAAGATGTACTGAATAAAGAGAGAAGGCGCGTATTTTCCCAAGCGCATGGAATCTAGCGTGAGATTAAGTAGTTATGTAATAAATACTTCGTATTCTTGCTCACTCCGACTTACTAGATTGCCATAACGACTCAGTCCTATACATGTAAACGCCGACCCAAAGGTTCGCTTGCCAGCGGGGTATAAAAATTAATTTAATAATGTTATTTCTAACCTAAAATATGAGTGGATATTATTCAGATTAGTATATATAGAAGTCACTGGGAAACACAAACCTCGAACATGTACCAGAATCGTGGACGGTGAGAATAAACCAATCCTAACCGAACAAAAACTAGAGGAGGTATGGACCAATTACATAAGGGAACTGTTCGATGACGGTGGCCACTCTTTTCACTCCCAAATAGAAACTGAAAATGGCCCAGATATAATGATCTCAGAAATCGAGAGAGCTTTAAAGAACACCAAAAACGGGAAAGCAGCTGGACCGGACAACATCTACCCAGAATTGATAAAACTAATAAACGGAGACAATTTAAAGTTATTGGTAAACCTCTTCAATTCTGTATACAATACCGGAAACATACCTCGGGACTGGCTAAGGTCGACATTTATACCTATTCCTAAAAAAACTGATGCAAGATGTGATGAGTTTCGTTTAATAAGTCTGATGAGTCAAGTTCTAAAGCTGTTTTTAAAGGTTCTGCATAATCGAATCCGAAGAAAATGTGAGCTAGCAAATGGGATTTTGCGAGGGACTGGGGACGAGAGAAGCCCTGTTTGCGCTATCGGTGCTTTTGCAGAAGTGCAGAGATCAACGAAAGAAGGTACACCTATGCTTCATAGACTACACGAAGGCATTCGACTGCGTCAACCACAGGGAATTGCTGAGCATCCTTGAAAGAAGAGGCCTGGATACTCAAGACCTGAAAATTATCCAAAAGCTATACGAACAACAAGTAGCGACAGTAAAACTACAGGACACTGAAACAACAGCAATACCTATCAAGTGTGGAGTTAGGCAAGGATGCGTATTGAGCCCTATGCTCTTCAATATGTACTCCGAACTAATATTTCGAAATGCGCTTGAGGGATCAGAAGACGGCATAAAAGTGAATGGCAGGCTGATTAACAACATGAGATATGCTGATACCGTCGTTATTGCAGACACCACTGAGGGCCTGCAAAGACTTCTTGATAGACTGTCCTCGGTGGGCGACTCAATGGGTCTCAGGATAAATACAAACAAAACAAAAGTCATGGTGATAAATAGAGATGCAAGACAGGCAACGGAGGTAGTCGTAGGTGGGACACCAATAGCAAGAGTCTCAAAGTTTAGATATTTGGGCAGTTGGATTAGTGAAGACCTAAACCCAGACATTGAGATCAGAGCTCGAATTGAGATGGCTAGATCAAACTTCCTAAAATTGCGGAACCTACTGTGCGATAAACGTCTCAACATCCATATAAAAGACAACTTCGTCAAGTGCTACGTACTTACCACACTTCTCTACGGGGTTGAGTCGTGGACACTCAAAGTAAGCGCAATGAATAAGTTGGGAGCATTTGAGATGTGGGTATATCGCAGAATGCTGAGAATACCATGGACTGACCGTGTCTCGAATGAACGAGTTCTAAACCAAATGAAAAAGGACCGAGGACTCCTCGACATAATAAAAAAGAGGAAAGCAGCCTATTTGGGCCATATCATGAGACATAGCAAGTATGAATTCCTTCAGCTCATCATCGAAGGTAAAATTGAGGGAAAGCGCGGACCCGGACGACAGCAATGCTCCTGGCTGAAGAACATCAGAGATTGGACAGGCCTGGACTCACATATTTTTCTGAGAAGAGCGAAAAATAGAGAAGAATTTGCCATGGTTGTTGCCGATCTTCACTGAATGGAGAAGGCACTTTAAGAAGAAGAAGAAGTATATAATATGTATTGAAATATGGTAGGTGTAATAGGGGGCCCGGTAAAATTTTTGCACACAGGCCCAGGATATAACTTTTGACAACAACACGAAGGGTTGTCGTCTCGGTGCATTCAATGTTGTGGTGTTTCCCCATATTCCCCACAGAATCTGAATTCGCCCTTGTTTCTTAGCCTCAATCTACATACTGAGGTGTTCATTGCGGAGACAGTGTCCTGTAAAAATAAAAATCCGAAGTTTTTTGTTACTCAAATCAAGGAAAATATTTGATTTTTAACAACTAATACACAGCTCTGGATCTCTGCTGCCAGAAATCAACAGAAGAATTAAGTCAGCACGGAGTACTTATGGAAGAAACTCAATCATATTCTAATTTAGAATGCCACTCTATCTAAAGAAGAAAACATTCGACCAATGTGTATTACCTATACATGCGAAACCTGGACACTTAAAACGGACATCATAAGGAAACTGCAGCTCGCAAAACGCTCAATGGAACGAAATATACTGGGAATAACCAAGAGAGACCGTAAAAGAATAGAGTGGATACGACAAAAGTCCCAGGTAGATTGATTTACAATCAGTCTCTAACCAATCTATGAAAATTTTATGTGCATCAGGCCCTCTAAAAGTCTGGAAAATCGACTGAGAATTATCAAAATCGGATTTAATCTAATAGGCAAAAGAATAAGGAACGTTTTGGTGTGTTTTCATTGTATAGGAAATTTCAGGATCCAACTCGTTTTGCTCTGTTTGTAAAGGTTCCAAAATAGTTTCAAAATCAGCGTATACAACAAAGGGTACTTTTAATATTCGTTCGAAATTTGTAAATTTAAGGATACTTATTCTCGGGAATATTTTCGCCATATTTATTTTTCTTTAAATTATCCGAAGAAGTTTCGACTATAACATGACCACAGTCGTATTTTGATGATTTTCTAATTTAATATCTGAAGAAAAATAAACCAAGCAACCATCGCATAAGAATTTTGAATGTTGTTTGCCTGAAAGTTGGTTTGAGATTAGGCGAGACATATTTCTTATTAAACAGTAATGATTATTGCCAGAATCATCGCTGATTAATAACAAATTAACATGTCTATCTACCTTATGAGATTTAGTAACATACAAAGGACCCACAACTTCCTTCCACTGTTTATAACCCTTCTCGAGCCCATAAACATTAATAGAAATATTATTGAGTTGTTCGAATTTTGAAATTTGTTTCAAAGATATCGGAAAATCTATACCTCTCACATCCAATTCCTGTTCAAACGGTTTATAATTTTGGAATTTGTTGGCATGTTGAGGCCGATGAATTGGGTGAAAGGCAGCTAAAACCGACCATACAAAACATTTCTGGTCAGTGTTTTGTATGTTCAACACAGCCTTTTTAGTAGGTATGGGGACACTTGAGCCAGACAGCCACTTCCGGTCCAGACACCGAATTCCAGGAACCCAATCAGCTAAGAACATGTAAAATAGGCTAATAAACAAGAATAAACAGGTTTGAAACGCTTTGAACCACTTTAAAACCGAAATAAACGGGTTTGAACAAAAACTGATCAGGTCTGTTGCTTTACGTTAAAAAGCCGTTCAAAGCAGTTCAAAAGCGGTTCAAGGTGATTCAAACCTGTTTAATCTTGTTTATTAGCCTATTTTACATGTGATTGAGTTTCTGGAATTTGGTGTCTGGACCGGAAGTGGCTGTCTGGCTCAAGTGTCCCCATACCTATTCTTTTTCGTTTCTATTTCCTTCGGTAGTGGTATATAAGATGAGGCTTTTAGTGGGTTAATTTTATTTACCCTTACATCTACGTGAAGAAGTTTCTGAAGGTTAGATGTCATCCACAGATTCAAATCCCTCAAGTGGCAATGGGCAGGACACCTGGCAAGAAGAACTGACAATGGGAGATGGACCACAAAAATTACAGCATGGTACCCACGAGGAATTAAGAGACCTAGAAGAAGACCAATACTGGGATGGGACCATGATATTATGAAATTAGCAGGGATAACTTGGTCCCGCATAACGAGCAATAGACAACAATGGGGCCAACTACAAAGAGAGTATCTAAATATGTGAGGAAGGCTATCATAATTGAAAATGGTTGAATAAGCTGAAAATGATGATAATGATGATGATGAAAATTACATATTCAGATTGATAGGGAACTGTATAGTTCTTATTGCAACTGCTGATGCTGGTCCGTTTTCGATTGCAATCCACAGGTCAACTGTAAAATTTCCAATTTAATTGTAATCGAAAAACGGTTAATTTCGCGAGCACCCCCGAGGCCACCAGGGGCGTGCCGGCCCGCAGCATCCCCAATTCGGCCATCTTTTTGTTCTGGTTGTTGCCGTGGCCGCGCATTAATCAAAGATGGCTAAAACAATAGTGGGCGTGCACGATAATCAATTATGCAGGGCTGCAGGTATTATTATATCGCGAGGCCGGCAGAAAACGAGAAATAAGAAGAAGAGTTGGAAGAGGCCGGGAAAAAAACGAGGCAAAAAGAACGACGACGTTCGTCTCTTGAAAGAGATGCGGCACAATTGTATGGGCATTGTTGGGACCGGTACGGCGCAACGTCATATTGTTCCGACGGAACGGTGTCTGGAGGATGAATGCGGCTTGGCGTGTGCTCGTGTGTGGTGGATGACCGTCGCGTCGACACGCTTCGGTCTCTTCGGTTTAATTGTCGAATCATTACTAATACAGATATATATATTTTTTACTTACAAAAATTCGATTTACTTAATATTTGATTTTGACTTAATATCAGATGATTTTATATGGAAGTATAGGCAGGGTCCAGCCTTCATCTAGCTGCAATACTCTTGCAAGTTTTGCATTTTTTTAATAGGTTTATACTAGAAGCACATTCTACTAGGGTTTCATCGAGACGAGAAATCTCGTCTCGAAGACAATTTCGATGATCGAGACGAGACGAGATATTAACAAACTCTCGTCTCGATGTTTTTCTCGAAGTCAATTTCTCGATCTCGATTCGAGATTCTCGAAATTTCGAGAGTCTCGAAAATAAATAACTGATTTATTATTATTAAAAAATTGGCGCCGGGAGGCGCGTATAGCCGCCCCGAGCCGCCCATACTAAAATATGTTAATAAAAAGTTGGTAGGCAGTTATTTTAGTTTCAAAGTAAAGGAATTTTTTCAATTTTTTTTTATCTCAAAAACTGCGACTTTGACTGATTTTGTTGCAAATATTATTCCTAATCTTAAATTGAAAACCGCGTTTAGCTAGCTACTGTAATTTTGGAGTAACGATTTTTTTAAATTTTTAATCCCCTCCCATACCCCCTTACCAACCCCACACCCCCACCAAAAACTAACGGCCAGATTTTCGAGTGCCACAGTATTTTTGAGCCAAATTTGGTTAAAATCGGTTCAGCGGTTTTTGAGTTATCGTGTTACAGACGGACAGACAGACAGACAGACAGACACCATGAAAATATTTTGTATTTAGGTCATTTATGACCCAAGTAACTCATTTTGAGTAAAATTAAAAAAAAAAAAATTTGCCGATCTTAATAGCCCTACCATACCTCTTGGTATGGTCGGTTAAAAATATCATGTTATAAAGTCTGCACCAAAAGACAGGGTACATTTTTTCTGTTAAAAAATTATGTTATAGAATACAGAGCTATTATAGGTATGGTATGAACTAAAAGCCATGTGTAACAAAAAAAACGCAGACACTTTTGGCCCAAAATCCCAAAAATAAAAATATATTGTTTTAAAAAGCGAAAATCAAAACGATTTTTTTATTTTTTAATTTAGTCTTTTATCCATTTGGGTTTAAAATTTACCTAGCTACCAACGAAAGTTTAAAATTTTTACTGCGTTGGGCAATAAACTGATTTTTGTTTACTCGAAACAGTCTTTTATTGAAATTTTGTTTTTCTTCGACATTACTTAAATTCGTTTAACTCAATAGGAGTTA